CCCGCAGATTTCACCGCTCAACTTGCGGCACCGTTAACGTGCGATTTATTGTGACTTTTATAGTGCGGAATTATCGCGGCGAACTACGTGCTAAGACAGAATCGGATAGTCGCCGGATAACACACACAATTATTGCGCATTTGCGTGAGAAAAGAAATGGTGGGCACGCAATGCCCCGCAAAAAATCAAAGTCTCGAAATCTTCGAGAGCTGCGACAATTTGTCGAAAAGTCATGACATCGAAATCCAAATACGGAGACGATATCTCGAAATACAATTCTGAGGAAAAACAATTTTCACGGTTATGTCTTTTGCCATTGAGGCCACTATTATCAATCATCTGGAGTATCTTTTAAGTAGTTTCTATTTTATTTTCTTTTTTTGTATCTTTTTACGGATTTGTCTTTGTCCTTTTCTCTTTTACACGGAAAAAACAATTCTGTTGACGCAACCAAATTTTCGGTTGCTCAGGGACCAGACGAAAATTCCGCTGTAGGAACAGAACAATTTCTTTATGAGGCTTCAGTATAGTCAATTGTTCTCAGTTGCCTCAACCGAGTTCTAATATCGTTGAATGTTCAGACGAATATTTTCGGTTGCGACAACAGAAATATTAGTTTCATAACAGAGATATCGCTTCTGATCACCTAATTTTCAGTTGGTTCCTATTTGGTTGCACCAACTGAAATTTTTTTTGGGTGCATGATTTATATATCGTGCATTGCACCAAAGAGATAACTCCCGTCAATAGGTGATAAATAACTAAATAAATAAATAAACTATTGCATTGAAAACAATTACATATATTAAAATATATATTAATATCTATTTAGATACACTTTCGCTGTACTCAAGTGATTAGATAGAATAAAACAGCCATTTATTGACATCCCTCTTTGTCATTAACACTCTAGAAAACTCCTGACTCATCCTACTAATGTGCTCGAGTGTACAATGACAATTCCAAAATTTCAAAAGTAGTTTATTTTATTTTATTTCTTTTATATATATTTCTCTCTCTCTCTCTCTCTCTCTCTCTCTCTCTCTCTCTCTCTCTTTCTCTCTATCTATCTCTACATTGTATGTGTGTAATTTATCTTTGTTTTTTCCTTCTTTTCCTTGAAATTATCTATATTTTGCGTATTGTGTCAAAGGGATGACTCTTTTGTAAATATATATATATATATATATATATATATGTGTGTGTGTGTGTGTGTATGTGTGTGTGTGTGTGTGTGAAATAAATAAATAAAATTGTAAAATTTCCGGAAACTATCTCCAAATTTGGATTTCGATACTATATTTTGGACTTTCCAGACAATTATTCGACTCTTCACGTTTCGATACTCTTCCTCCAACCTAACGCATATCCACAAAAACAATCGGCTCTCGCGGAAATCCATTGGTCGAAATAAGACGCGGCCGTTAGACGATTAATTTGACCGAAACTCATCAATAATTCAAGGCTGAACGCTCATCTGGCGTTTCTGCTCGCTGAGTGAGCTCTTATTGGCAACAGCGTGCTCGCGAATCCAGGGCAACCAGTATCTGTATCGAGACGAGATATCAACGCGACGTTTCCGAACGCGACGACAATGCAATCGACGGCACGACCACGCGCTGCATGATCGAACGTCACGATCGGACTTTCCGCGACGCGGCGCGCGCGCACTAGAAGGCGCGTCTCCGCGGCGTCGCGTATCAGAATCGCGATTACACTGCTTACATTATCCTAATTAACACGCTGCCGATTGGAGATGTCCGAGACATGCCGGAAATGCCGGATTTACTCTCTCTCTCTCTCTCTCTCTCTCTCTCTCTCTCTCTCTCTCTCTCTTTCTCTCTCTCACCGTAATCCGGCTGGAAACTTCTCCCCCGAGTCGCCCGGGCGTCTCTCGGCCGCTTGTCTCACGAGGCGAAACAGCTCCCCGCGACGTTGAATCCCTACGACGTCGTGAAACACCCCGGCTGCTAGGCTCTTCCGCGAGAGAAGCCCACCCATGTCGTGACAGCCGGAAGCGAGCCAAGAACAACGGACGAGAACGATGATGCACTTCCGTTCGCGGAGATTCCCGCTCTAAGGCGGCGCCGTGACGTTCTCGGGCACGGAGTTGTCCCTGTTCAAGGAGTTCAGCAGCTCCTCGTTCTCCTTCCGCACTGAAAGAACGACAAGGGCGCCGGGTAAGCGAAGCGAAAACTCGCCGGTATCAATCACACCGTGTTGCAGCGATCGCGACAGAGGCCGGAAATCATGCTCGTTTCCATAACGGAGCCCCGACGGAGGGCGGAGGTGTGAATTTACGCCCGGAGCTTCTCTCGCGACAGATTTTTCCTAACTCTCGATGGCGCCGCTAACTTTAATCGCTCATGAATAAGAAGCGGCGCGAACTTAAATTACTTCTGCGCCGAGAGGTATGTAAGCTCGCAAAGTCCCAATGAAACAGCACTGCAAGGGTCGAGTCCGCCAATTAAATTAGTCACGAGCAGGCTCTTAAGCTCGAAGCGAGAACGGCGAGCAAGCATGAAATAAAGACGATGTTGTGTCGCCGAAGTCGGCGAGCGACTTCGATCACGAAGTGTGTTAGTTTCGAAAGCCGCGAGTATTCTAAGGCGCGGTTATTGTCTGTCCTATAACTCGGAGTTATATCGACGCTTTCGAGTGTCGCAGATTTACATTGTATAGCTCTGTGCTCCGTCAACTCCTTCGGGCCCGTCACCGGGCTGAGAAAGATGCTGTGCGTTAAGGTGACCACCACCACCAGCACCGAAGCTACCAGCAGAAAGATGAAGGTCCCAAGAACGACCATGGCGATTCGCCGGTGACGCCTCGCCTGCTCGAGATCGCGAGCATCCTCTATTACCTTCCGCGTCTGCTTAACGTCCGTCTTCGTGGGACGAACGGAGTCCCGTCGGGTGTTCACGCTGCTCGCCCTTCGCGGCCTGGTTTTCTTGCAAACACTGGCTCTTCTATCATCTCCTGAAGTTTCACGTCGTTTTGCATTAATGTTAAAAGCACTCCTCCTCCGTGCGGAAACCGATCGACATGCGGCGACAATCGTCCCCGGATGTACTCGAGCCGAACGCGTATGGCTCGTCGTACGGATCGGTCGCGAGCGAGCGAGCGACGACGAGTCGCAAAGGACGACGAATGTATAGGATTGCCAAGCAAAAGTTCGGTCCTAACTTGGATTGTCAGATCCTCAGGAGTCCTGTCCGATATCCGGTTGACAAATCAAACCGGACGTCGTATGTCCGACTTTTATGTTATACATTGAGAGAAATTACCCGATAAAAAATTAACAAATGGATATTTCCAATCAAAGTACCGATGAATTTTTTTATCCGATCAGGAAACACCTAATGAGAAATATCGATTCATAATTTTTTGATCTGATAAAATGCCATTATGATCGAAAATATTCGATTAAGTTTAATCGGATATCCTGATCAGATATAAAAATTTATCGGTATTTTGATCGAAAATATCCATTTGTTAATTTTTTATTGGATAATTTCTCTCAGTGTACTCAATCAATAAAATGAGATTGAATTCCTTTTATTTAACACACGTAACATTATCTTATATACGTTTATGTGTAAAAATATATATTTTATGTTTTAATAAATGTTAAACGTTTTTTTTTATTTTAACGTGTTGTGTGCTAAATATTTTACTAAGTTTTTTAAACTGTCTAGAAAACAATATTGTAAGTAATCTCTCGTCAAATTTTGTATTTAATCTAATTTTATGATTATTATTTCTGTGCGGTTAGGTTTTGTTACCTTTTCCTTTTTCCAGAGAGGAAATGTCTGGTAATTTAAAATTTTGGATTTGGCAACTCTACGGATGTATCGTGCCCGACTGAAGATTCGACGTTGATAAGAACGTATGAAAGAATATTCGACAAAGGAATGTTAAGGGGACGCCGATGTATATACACAAGACAAGACATCGAGAGGAAATGTTGCATACGCGTCCTCCAAATTTCTTCGAGTGAAATTCCATGGAAGTAGAGCGACAGTCGAGTCATTCACGTCCGCGTGACTTTTCAATCATGTGGAGTGAGTTTGCCACTCCGAATCGTTGAGTGAATATTTTCATGCGAAATTCAAGAGAGAATCTGACGCGAGGACGAATCGATTGAACTTCAATCGATTGAAACATTTGCTCATATGGATTAACACATTCGCCACCGGCATTACACACGTGCGCACCGATTCTCTCACAATTCTTTCAGAGGTCTGTTTTACACATACACACATACACAACGTGACACATTATATGAAATATTCAGTTGGTCTATTTGGTAAATTCTCTGTGTGCATAAGAGCAAACATGCATTACATTAATTTAAAAAAAATGGCGCCAGTGACTTTTAGTCACACTGAAAGCCTTAACTCCTCTACTGTATTTATTTCATCGCAAATAGATCCTACTGCTTTTCCCGGGATTACTTGTTTATTACTTAGAAAAGTCAAAATTAAAAGGTATTCTTACCTTGATCATACAGCACCACTAATTTTCTTAATTTTAAACTTAAATAAATATCATGCTTGGAAATTACGTGAGTGTTTATGTGACATGACGTTTTGAAAGTCGCCTCTACGTTATCAATATTTTGGAAGTTCGTCATCTCCTTGAGGCTTTCAGCATGAGTAAAGTTATTCTCACGTTATTTTTTTCAAAAGTTAAGTAAAGCTACTAAAAAAATTATACCGTGAGCAACTTATAATTTAAGCGCGACAGCGAATGTGTTGAGAGTCCACTCAGAGTTTATTAAAAATTCCCTCTTATCATCCCTAGAGACAGTAATTTTAGTATCTCTTTGATCGAATTTGTCATTCATTTCGGGTGAGATTTCACTCCAAGAATTTAGAGAGTAAACGCTAAAATGGCAAAGCTGCAACAGTTGTCCGAATCGCTAATTGTGCTTCTTTCTCTGTGATTAGCCCGATATGTAAGGAATTCTCTTCCATTTATCAGTAAGCGCGTCGCAATTATCTCCTACCTAAGGGGGTCGGTCTGCTGCAGCTGCTCGTCCTCGAGCGATTGGACTGGACGCTGGAGCGTCTGCTGGACCGTTGATCGACGTCTAAATTGGATCTCGAGCGTCTCGGGGCGCTTGTCTGAGGGCACAACGGATTAGAGCAAGACGGCCTCTCAGCAGAATTCAAAGGATAAAGAGCGGAACGGTCGCCCAGCTGGAGGCCGACCGCACTGTCGGGACTGGATGGATACAGACTAGAACGGTGACCCATCCGCGGACCGTCCGGCTCGGGCAACGCGCAAACATCCTCGCGACCGAGCCTGTAGAAATCCGGCGACAAGTCTTGGCCGGTCGCCGCCGCGAAGTCGTCCACGTAGAGGATTATTCTTTCGAACGACGCGGCGCTCGGTCGTCGACTACGGTCGTCTCTGCGATTAACGTCCATGACGGGCGAATGAATGGTTTCAAGAACGCGCCGTGATAGCTGGAGTGCCGCTCTTCAACGTTACACTTTTGACGTCGATCATTTTCCCGTACGCTCGACTGGAATCTGCACAGCGACGGGCGAATGTCGAAATTCCGCGAAAATGATCGTCTCGACACTTATGAGCTGATCTCCATCGTATTATCGATGAAGAACGCGTCACTTTTCGGGGTTACATTATCCGTCACTTCCTCGCTGCAAAATCAGGAATTTGCCTTAATTACGAAGGGGTTGTCAGCGCGACTCTGAAATTATTACAGACTAGGCAACAATTTTCTAACTTTTTGTTTACGTCGAAGATTTTTGGCATATTTTTCACATAATTCGAACGTCCTGAACCAAAAGAATAACCGATAAAACAATTTAGTTCGTAACAGTTTTTGAGAAAGGCATAGATAGATCAATTTTCACCAATATCACGAAGTCGATGTAGAAGTTTTATAACAATAATCCAAACAACAAATATCCAAATCTTATCATCATCTCCTACTTTGCATTCAAAGTATAATTCATATGCTTTACGAGTCAATGGGATTAACACGCACCTGTATTTCACTAAAAATAAATTCGTCGCAAATATAAGAAAAATAATTACTTCTATTAAGACACTTATACACGACATATTGCAATCCTATTTGTAAAATAACGCGATTAACAATGCATGATGTTAAGAAAACAACAAATTTCCAGTGAGATACTATCTCTTTTCATGTTTTCAGCTAAATTAAAACGAATTTACGCTGTTTTCCGCTCATTAAACTACCTTGACAGGGTAGTCAGGATACTTTAATAAATTGTACTTCAGCCCTCTGACAGGAAAACTACGCTGACTTTCATCTCTGGTGCAAAATGGCTGTTGATCAGCATTGTTCCTCGGAATAACGAATTCGCTCTGGAAAAACGTGGACTGTCTCTTCAACAGCGAGGGGAGATTTTTATGGAGAGTAGGTGATAAATAACTGAAAAGCTATTTATATCGCGTTGTAAAGGGTGATTAAAGTAGATCGACCGCGGTTTTCATGGGTCGCCATCGTTGTCAGGATAGAATACCCGTGCGCGCTTTCGCGATTAATCGCGACCACGGCGCTGCAACGAGCTCAAAGGGGCCACATCATCTTCTATGAGCGTCAACGGCGTACGAATATTCTTGTGAGAGCGTCATAAGCGCTTGTCATGCATGAGAAGTTTAGAATGCCTCGCGTTATATTCGACACCAAATTAATCGAGATCTTATCCGGGCGGTGTTTTACCTGGAAGCGTTCAATTTGTCTGTAAGTTGTCTGCGCTTTAAAACGATTCATCCTTCTGCATATCTTCAGACAGACTTTCATGATTATTACGACGTGAGACAATCAATGATGGGAACTCTACAATCCTTTCAATTACATTTATGTGACAAATATACTGTGTTGACTTAAACGTTAAATTCCCATCATACAATAATATAAATTTTCTATTATATTGACGCAGTAACAAATTTATTAAAAGTTGCACTCGAATATTCGTGTTACATTTTGCATGACACGTTATTCTAAACAAATTTTGGTCATTCTTTTCATATGTCTTTCGTATCTCTATTTTATCATTCAATGCAATAAATATGAGTGCCATATGAATCATTCCTAAGAGAAACAACTTTTACAAATCGACTAGTAATTTGCTGTCAAACTTACATACATATGTCCATTTCACAGGGTCATTTTACCTTGACAGTAGCATCAAGTGCTTCCCGGTATAAATTTCATTCTAATTTATTTTCAAGAACTCCCTCAAAATTTCATGAAAATCACATTGAGAGAGAACAATAATTGCAACTTACGATAAGCGATTGATTATATTTTCAATCAACTTTTTGATAATATATATTCAATAAATGTTACCGGATCAAGGTTAACACGTTGACTGCCATGGTAGTCATTAGTGACTAGTGCTTTAATATTGCCACGTCTTATTAATTTGCGTATAAAATATGACCAATTAAATACGGGGCCGATGAATAGCTAATGGAACGAACTAATGAGTATATATATCATGAATTGCCTTTATTTAGCGATTCAAATTTTAATTGAGCATTGAAGTAATTAACAAAAATCGTGATTGTCAACGTGTTAACATAAATATTATCTACAACAATTCGCACCAGATAAATTTGATGTTGAAATTCGCGATGTTCATTGCGATGCTGTAGAAAGGAGATTTCGAACAAACACTGAGATTGTCAGTAATTATTGCAACAGGAGAAGAAACTTCAGAATGACTAGACACGACATTGAAACGACGTTCGTCTGCTAACAAGACGACTAATATAATGTTATATAATAACGTTATAGCCGCAATACGAATGGTACAAGTTATACATTTGACCTTCGTTGTCAAGGATTTTGAACCCGAAGACACTTTGTTATTGTTAATTATCCTTGACGTGGCGTTACGTTGTGCAGAGATCTCTTATTATAATAAACTCCGGTAAGATCGACGTTGACGTAGTGCTAACACAAGCACGCC